TCGCCGATAGAATTTAATTTGTCTTTTAACCTTTCCATTGTAGTGATTGTGTGAAAACAAGCACAAAAATCATGTTCAGTTTGCTCGAGACATTTTTGCTGTTATATGCAGGGTTGATCGATTGTCATAAAACTGTTGCGCAAACTTCATTCTAATCGATAGGAGAAAATGGATGTAAATGCTTGGCTTTACCCTTGCTTTTCTATGAAGTGAGAAAGAACATTTTAATTGGTGTCATATCCTAAGTCAATTGCGGTAGGTAGTTCGCTTTGAATGCGTTCAATTCTTTTTCGAGAATGATGTGATGTACTCTAAACTTTTTTCTTGCTGAACTTTTTTACTGCAAATTGCATTAGTTCATTTCAGGTTTCCGTCTGGTTTTTGAGGTGATTCCAAATTACGATATCACATTAAGGGATCACGAGAAAAAAGTAGAAATATGGTTTGTTTCCACTAGAAAAGGACACTGCTTCTGAATATCGCGCAAAACTCCTTAGTTATGCTAGTTCAATATTATATCAGGAACCCTATTGGTGCAATTTAGTTGTAGTGACTGCAAATTCCATCGATGCAAATATGTATGCGGCGTCGTAACTTGCTTTGTCGGCTTTTTCTCAGCAAATGCGAAAATGCAAATGCAAATTTGAATGTTTGGAGGGGGCACAAAAGTGACAATTGTAATGCAGTGTTATCGTAATGACAGCAATTCTAGTTGCGAAATTGGCAAGAAGGGGTCATGTCTGGACGAAATTGAGCCATTTCTGACCGAGTATGGTGTCTGCTTTGTGGTGGCACCTAATATCACTGTAAGGAGGCCAGGTTCGATTCTGATAATTCGATGTGGAAGCTAAAATGAAATTGTTGAGTGTAACAGGTCCGGAAACAACATTATCCTTGGTCTTGAACCTAGAACCGTACGATATTATTCCTGGCACTGTTGCCGACTCTGGGATCATTTTGTCCCTACACGATGCTGGCGATGATTCAACACCCCATCACAGCGTTGGCGTTCATCTCGAGGCTGGAAAAGTTGTCACGATTCCGATAAACGAAGTGCGAAGGGTATGCGGATCTTGAGGGAAACATGAATAAGATCACCATAACATGATTCAGCTGACGCGCTACAGTCAAAACTGCGGAAAGCGTGCCATTGGACCATTTTCGCGCAAGCTGTACTCGAAGGAATCGTGTCAGTGGGTATCTGTCACGCAGGACGTTGAGAAAGTCTGCAAATGTCGTCCAGTTCACAGTCCGCACAACAGACACATATTCGCTGATCAACCACCGGTGAGCTAAGCAATACTGAAGGCAGAGTCCGCGAAAAGTCGATTTTGGGATTTTCTGCTCGAGCATATTCGCTATGCCGAATCCGAAAATCCACGCTGGAAAGCGCGAAAACGGCGAAAAAGGGCTCTGACGAGGATAAAAATCAGCAAGTGGGCGGAGTCTTCCCATCGTGTTTTTACGCTCCCAGTTTTCGG